CTGACATCAGAAGGAGACAGTCATCATTTTTCGGCCATGTTATGAGAAGAGGAAAATAGAACATGTTGTGACCACTGGAAAGATCTGTGGAAGGAGGGATAGAGGAAGACAACGAGAGAAGATGCTTAACAGTCTTGTTGCATGGTATGGAGGTGTGTCGGCACACGAACTGATACATGCTGCAGGAGATCGCGGATTATGGAAAGGCATGATCGCCCACGCCAGTCGGCAAGGCACCTGATGATGATGATGATGATGTGTTGTAGCATTTAAGCAGCTGAGATTCTCCCCAACTCTCATTGTTTTCCACATAATTATTTGCCTAGGAAATATATAAAGCGACAAGGAGGGTGTAGTTGAGCTGGCAGGGGTTGAGCCCTCATTCTTTGTGAGTCCTCCCCCCTCCCCCTCCCCCGCCAACACTTTTTTGATCTTTTTGATTTTTTTTCCTGATCGTTTTCGTGAACACCTTTCTGATATTGACAAGAAAACACATAAACCAATCCCTCTCCATTTTAATAGCTCTGACCACAGAGGTAAAGATGATATATCTGTCACAGCATTAAAATCTTACTCTGGCGATCATACTACTCGCCTCGCTTTGGGAAATCACCTCACCCACAAACTAGGCGTTCTTAGTCCAGGCGGTATCAACATCCAGCATACCTTTATCTAAATAGTTCTACTCTTATCACATTTTAAATGTTAACTATTTTCTTTTCTTTTATTTCGTATTATTACTTTATTCTATCTATTAGTATCATTTTTGTATCATTAACATTTGTATTTTTTTACTCCCAGTATTGTTTGTTTGTTTTAGTATCCAGAAGCCATGAGTTTTTAATCCTTAGGCTCGGTATTATGGATATCGCAACCTTTCGGCCTTGATTCCATTGTAAATACCGTAAATCTGGGAAAAATGTGGCTTTCCTGCCTACCCCCGGGATTGAAACCGGACCACAGGGAGTTCGTCACCCGGTCTCCACGCAATCCGGTTTACTTAACTACGCTAGAGAGCCGGGCTACTCCCAGTATTATATTATATATTAACAATACTACTGTTTATTTCTTTTGTGACTATATTTTTTAGCCATCGTTAATTTTTGTCATTTCATTTATTCCACATCATAATTTTTCAAACGTTTCTCTCGTCACCCCGTAGAGATCTACATACTCTCATCGTTGTTACGTTTGTGTAGTTTACTTATGTTTGAAAAAGGCTGCCTGGTCGAAACATTATTTGTGTTGTTTTGTGCACGTGTTTCTGCTTCCCCATTTTGTTAAGCTTTTTAGTCAAATTTTCCTGGAATTCGTTGTATTAGCTTGACTGCAGTCACCGCCATATTTTCAACACTTTTTGCTTCAGTGGTAAGGAGGGTGGGGTTGTACGTGGCACCCCCCCCCCCCCCCCCCAAGCCCCCCCCCCCAACCAAGTCTAGAAAATGTGAAAGGCAGAAGGAAGGGGTGAGGCACGGCTAAGCCCTGCACTCCCTTTTCAATGTTTTCTTTGTAGTGGCGCGCCTAAAACACATTTGAAACGCCACATAAATGCTTAACAATTGAACCTATTTACATGTTTAAGGGGCCCGCGTAACACCTTTATGCATGTCCTAGAGGGAAGGATCTCATCCCCTACGCACTCCCCCCAACCCAACATTTGTTTTCGGTGGGGGCTCTAAAATGCCGAACAGATCCACCCTCTCCCCCAGTTTCGGCACCTCTGACATGACCTATTTCTAATCTTGCGCAAAAGGGAAGTCGCGCTTATCTCAATATGGAAATCTCGTTTTATATGTGTAGCTACGTTGTGTGTGTGTGTATGTGTGTGTGTATGTGTATGCGTGTGTGCGTGTGTGTGGGTGTGTGTGTATGCGTGAGCGTGTGTGTGTGTGTGTGTGTGTGTGTGTAAGGTGCTGTGATCAAGTGTTATGAATGATTTTCGATCGTTGAAACTTGTCACTGCATGGCGGTTTCATGAGTGCCAACTGGCGCTAAATTGACGATGGAAGAGCACTGTATTACATATGATCTATTTTGAGCACTCGGTACCACATTACCCACATAGTGCTGCAAGTTAGGGCCCCCAACCGCCTTATATATATGTATATATATATATATATATATATATATATATATATATATAAAATTTACTCAAATGGCAAGTAAATAGAATACTATAAAAAAATGAAAAATGAACATATACTTGAAAAGATAACTTCTAAACATGGTTAACGGAAACTGCTTAGAACTCTTATCATACACAGAGGCTGGGAAGGGGCGGGTTGTTCTCAATGAGTTTATGATCTAGGCATGTGTAGTTTAACTCTTTCAGTACCATACTTGTGATTGTATATCTCATAATTTCATAATCAGCAGCTGGATAAAGTCATAAATGTTTAAGTTTGAAAAGGTTCAGATAATAACTCTTCGCGAGAAAATTAACTAACTAATAGTTCCCCATGTAGCAGGTCCATTGCAAAATGTCGCTTTCACCAACACCGTCTGCCTGAAGAAAACTAGGTCTCTCACCAGTTCTCCCTCCTTGTGTACTGTCATATTCAAGGAGTCACTTACATCTTGTGCACATCTTCCTGTTGGTCATACCCTGAACACCCCCTCCCCCGTCCTAGTACCATGCCTTCTGCTATTTTTTTTCCCTGTCCGCCACGGCGCTTGATATGACTATAATATTTCAGCTTCCGAGACAAGATGCTGTTTATTAGCCAATCTTCCTTGATGTTCAGATCTCATAAAATGTCAGTATTTCTTCTCGTCTTTGTCCATGACATTCTGAGTTTCGATAGCACTTCAGCTCAGAAGTCCTTATTTTCTTTCTTAAGGACTGGGAGTTGGTCCACGACTCACATCCGTATGCTGCTCATTCATTCAGTAGCATGTCCCTCGCGGAACCTCGCTGCCATAACAACCCTCCGGAAAACCTTCCTATCATGAGCAAGATGTCCTGCGTCTGATACACCCATCTGGAGATCATCTGCCACATCCTGCACCCATCTTCTCCTTGGTCTTCCTCTTCCTCTCTTCCCAGGCATATACCCCTCCATTATTGTTCTCTCTAGACTTCCATGACGTTTCAAGTGACCAAAATATTTCAGTTTTCTTTGTTTTATTGTCTTTACTAGCCAACCCTCTTCAATATTCAGCTCTTGAAGTATGGATGCATTTGTTCTTTTCTTTACCCAAGATATTCTTAGAACCTGTCTGTAACATTTATATTCAAATGCATTTATGCGCTGTTCCGCTTGTTTAGTAAGTGTCCAGGTCTCACAGGGCGTATGTTTGCAATGGGAAAGATGCATGCTCTTAAAAATCTGACCTTTGTAATTCTATCTGGTACAATTCCAAAAAATTTATTCAGTTGTTTTAGTCTTTGAAGAGCAATTGATAGTCGCCGTTTAATCTTTTCTTTCATTGTGTCACCATTGTTGGTAACCAGTGACCCAAGATATTCGAAATTTTTCCACCACTTCCAATCCTTCCTCATTAACATATATTTCCTTCTCCATGGCAGTTTTGTTTGTATGCATTATCTTTGTTTTTGCTGTGTTAAGAAATAAGTTATGATTTTCACTATTTCTTTGGAGTGAGGTTAATAAGTTTTCTAAACCATTTTGTGATGTTGATAGTAATACTGTATCATCAGCATAACGAATTTCTGGTATTTCATGACCACCGATGTTTAGGGCATCATATTGGTTCCTTGTTATATCATCTCTTACATTTCTCATTATATTTTTCGGCGTACAGGTTGAACAAATACGGTGACAGCACACATCCCTGACGGACTCCTTGCTTGATGCCAAACCAGTCTGATGTCTCTCCATCTATTCTGACTGCTGCTTGTTGGTCTTGATAGAGCATTTTAATGAGCTGCACTATATGTGATGGAAAGCCCATATTCCTCATGATTTCCCAAAGCTTCTGATGTTGTACACAGTCAAATGCTTTTGAATAATCCACAAAACATGCTGCTACATGGAATAATAATAATAATAATAATAATAATAATAATAATAATAATAATAATAATAATAATAATAATAATAATGGGCAGCAGGGAATATGTTTCCAAATTTTATCTGAACTACTTTTGGTGCGCTGAAAACGAAAAGGATATTTTAAAATGTCAATCAGCTCTCGTTTTAAAGATTAATGCTACTTGTCCATTTGACTATAGTTAATTCATTCATACGATACAAGTGAAGTCGGCGACTACCTAGTGTTTTTCTATGTCCAATAAAAAAAGAACTAGAAGTTTATACAATCCAACCTATGATACATCAACTTTTACTTTTATTTAAATATCGTATCTCTGATAAAATTGTGCCATAAGTTATTGCATGTATTCTGACTAGAAGTCGTGGTTAGAAATAATCGGATTAATCGTATCGCATCTTATTGAAGATAGTTTTAGTTTTAACCCCTCCTATTCTGCTTTTGATTTCTGTTCTACTTCTGCCATCATCTGTTATTACCTGTTCAAGATAAGATAAACTTGTTACTGGTTCTAATACCTCCCAGCTTACAGCAATGTTTAACAATTGTCGCTCTTCTCCTTCATCGGATGTGTAGTGCCGAAAGGCGAAGATATGACAACATAGCCATGAACCACAACGGAGTGTGATAAATGCCGTTTTGAGGGCAAATGCAGTAGCAGCAGCAGCAGGAGAAGAAGAGAAAAAAGAAGAAGACGACATAGAACTGGCAACAACTGGAACTGTCCACTGTTTGCTGAATAAAGGGTCAAAATATTTTTGAGAATTCACCGCCTACTGAGATGTTGATTTTTAACATTTGCTCTTCATAAAGGAGGTGCAATGAAAGAAGATTTTGATGATGATGATGACGACGGTGACGCATACAGACACCTGTAGCGAAGCTCTCCAGGATGTAAAGTTTCAAAGTTCATAAATTGCATCACCATCACCATCATCAGGTAGCGGCAAGAGCTGCGGTCTCCACGCCGCAGTTTGTTTATCAATATGGCAGACTTTGGAATCGGTGCTATGGCAGTCTCCAGTTCCAGATTACAAGAAATAACCACAAAATTAAATTCTCTGTTTACTCCGCTTGGCATGGAAGTTCACCCTTTTAAGGTGCTTCACAGTTTACATGTTCTGATTTTTATTTTGGGCACCGTACGTTTTTAAAACAGTCTTCTCCTTCTTCACGTTCGTTCATAAAATAAAATCTGGCGGAAAGTTCTGGTTGTTCATCCTCTTCTGGACTGCAGTCCTGTTCCAGAACCAGAGTGTTGCGTGTGCATCCGTTTTACAGTTCTGACTCATTTGTAAGCGGACTGCTGGTTGCAAATTAAAAACATAATTAAATCACTTGTTACCCCAAAGATCTTGGGTTCAAATGGGTTTAGTTCCAGCTGTGGATGATTTGGCAGCAGGCCATCTTGAATTGTTTTTGGCAGTGGTATCAAGAGTTGACTCTTCAGAAAGCAGTGACAAACTACTGAAGGTAAAATTGTCTAGTGAAATCACAAACAGCCCCCAAAAATTGCAGGGGTTGGTTCTGCAGCATTCTGTAAAGGATACACAACTATCTTAAACAAACACTAGATGGCATAGTGTTCTCCACCTCCAAAGTGGTGATCTGATCATGTATAGAGAGCTAATTAGCAAACAAGATTATCACAGGCAGTGTTTAGACAGATTTATTACCTGCATGGTGACAGTTATTGATTTTTGCAAATTGAAGCACAGAGTTGATTATGAAGGAAACTGGTTAGTTTAGTGGAAAAATATACAAATAAAAAGAACAGCATAGTAGATGAACAAACCAATTCACTTTATCTTCAAGTGGTAAACTTTCTCAGTCCTTGTTAATTTCCGAGGGAGTTAAGAATAGGCAAAATTAAACTCATGGATATCTTACTGTCAGAGAACCGAATATACAACCCTTTAGGGAACAAATATGTCATCTGAGTTCTTTAGAGTCCATCACTAAATATAAGATGTAAAAAAAAAAATAAAAGACATGTGTAACATGTTCACTGGTACACATGAATAATACTGTTACACATAGTGCTTTGTTTGGGACATAAAAAGTTCAGAATTAGGCATGCAGGCTCATCTTACATTATGCTCTACTGTCCTCACTCCTTGCATACATTATTCCATTTATACATAATTTATCAGGCAATAATTCACATCATTAACATTTGGCTTAATAACACATGCTGTAATGTACACTAGTTATACTTGCATTTCAAAACAGTAATAATACTACTTATAGTAAGTGTAATAAATGTAGGTCTGTTTTCCGAAAACAGGTGTGTTTCTTTCGGTTCTGTTTTCTCAAAACAAGTATGTTACTCTGATTCTGTTCAGTACCTGTTATGTGGTTAATTCAGTTTTGAAAACTTGTGTGTTGTTTCTTAGTCTTATCATGAATCTGTTGGACACTTGAATGTGCCCACCATATTTATCAGTTTGTTCTTTTTGTTTTTTTTAAACTTATGTTTTTATTTTGTTAAATGTTTCCTTTTAAAAATTATGTGCATGGGTGACCGTTGTTTTGAGAGTTCCTCTATTGTTTGGGACCATTTCTATTTTAAATTTGTGAGAATTTTAACAGATCTTGTTGCTTTAAAAAAAAAAAATGGCATTTATGTGTAGGTTTTATGTTTGTTAACTCTTTCAACAACGCATCCCATGAATGACTGAATTTGCTCATATTCTCCAGTTAACTTATTTTGCACACACGCATGCGCTACACACTCACACACACACATATATTGTACACTTTATGTTTATTTGGTGCATACTAAAACTCCTAACCACTCATTTATTTCCCACAAGAGATGTATTTTTGGGCCCTGTGGATATACTATATACTGTTAAAAATAATTTTGGCTCTACTGGCAAATTCAGACGAAGAATAAACAGCCTTGGACGACTTAGTCAGAGTTCTCTCCCGTGGCTGCACTCCAAACAGTGATCGGAAAACAAACGAAACAAATGACACACTTAGCTATCATCCTGCGGTTGCGTGTAGGGCTGCGTACGGTTGCGTGAGGCATCGTGGCATCATCATATGGTTGCGTGCAGGGTTGCGTACGGTTGCGTGAGGCATTGTGAATGGTTGTGTAGTCATCATCATGCGGTTGTTGGATTAGAGTTAGGGGTAGGGGTAGGGGTAGGGTTAGGGTTAGATGTGAAAATTTTGACGTAGGATTTCGAAATACTGGCCGACGATCTGATGTTTGTGGGAGTGGCGCCACTGAAACTCTGCCAAATATGACGCCAATAGCGTGCGGCTGGTGCTCCCAATCGTTGGCGAAGTGTGCGTTTGACCAGCATCCAGAGGCCCTCGATTGTTTGTGTGTGTATGGGACTGTGCGCGATTATAGGGAACTGCGGCGTCAAAATTGTCAAATCTAACGCTAAACCTAACCCTACTGCTAACCCTAATCCTAATCCTACTCCCTAACCCTAACCCCTACCCCTAACCACGCTAATTTATCGATCATTAACGCATACAAATCGGCAAAAACCAACAAACAAAACACACCCAAAAAAAACCAGATTTGTCCTGAAACGTCGAAAGAAACCCAGATCTGGGGGAAACAACCAAGCATTGGCAGCCCTGATGTCGACGTGACTGTCTTCTTTGTTTCGTTGTGGCTTTTCCGATCACTGTTTGGAGTGCGGCCACGGGAGAGAACTCTGACTAAGTCGTCCAAGGCTGTTTATTCTTCGTCCGGATTTGCCAGTAGAGCCATAATTTTTTTTTTGACAACTGACTCACTGAGGTGTCGACTTGACCTTCTAGGGTGCAAAGAGTTAAGAATGACTTTCATTATACACAAATCCATAAGTGCAGTCGTCCCTTCCAGTAGATAATGCAGTGAAGAAATCAGAACATTATACAAACTTTTTTTATTACTTGCGAGGATCCATGGTCATTCATAGCAAACCAGAAAACGAATTTTAGTAACTATGAAAATACAATTAATAAAGAAGGGCTAAAAGCGTGACCAGAAGGGATACAATCAGGATTTAAGTCCTGAAAGAAAAAGTTGGCACAGAACTAATTCTTAATTACATTCAAAGGCAGCACAAAATAAAATGGTTTGCCCACAGAGAGAGTACCTTGCTGCACCATACCATACAAGGCATATACCAAAAAGGAAATGGACAAAGAGCATTCACCAAAAGACAAGAGAGGCCTGGAGAAAGGGGTAGATCAAGAACAAAATGGAAAAGTAACATCAGAGAAATTTTACAACTGCACGGCATGTCCCAAGCTCATACAGTAAGAGTAGTAAGAGCCAGAACCTTATGTTTCTGTGGAAACCCAAAGTGGTGCAGAGGAAGTGAAGAAGACCTTGGCTCTGAGGTTAATCCAGACTAAAATGGGATTCAGGTAATGACTTGGGAAATAAAGGTGGCCGGCATGATGCTGACCACGTCACCCATCGAGTGCCAGCTGGTACATAAAATAAAGGTCTAGCAAATGTGCTTGATGCACCAAAGGCATGAAAAGGAACCTTTACATTAGTAAAGTAAAGGACCCCTTTTTCACACTTTCATTCAGGCATATAGGGCTAGACCTATATTTTGTACACCAGTTGGCACTTGGTGGGTGATGTGGCCAGCATCACACTAGCCACCTTTACTTTCAAGGGCTGCACCTGGTACCCACTGAAGGCTAGGTCAACCTGGGAGCCAAGAACATTTTTGAAAAAGTCTGGCTTCATCAGGACCTGAACCCACGATCTTAAAATCTACAGGAGAGCATCTAGCTGCTGCACCAAGGAGACTCCCCGATCTTTAGATTATTTTAATTGAATATGCCACTATTTTCTGCAGATAAGATGGTACAATGAGCATGTCTCGACTGCATACCAGTTTGACCTGCATCCAGACACCCGGGCATATGTAGTCATCAGCACGCCAGACATGTTTGAAAAGGCACTTCTGCCCTTCATTTGTTCAAATGATCACATTGGCTCCATGGATGTACTTGACAGATGCATGCAGTTTTATTTCGGCCTTGTCAAGAAGGTACCCACATTTCTATTAGTCTGTATTGTTACATATCTATTTCACTGTTAGAAGCTACAGTAGCTTGAATACTAACATGCTGGCTCAGTGATCTGAGGTAGAATCTTTACCAAGATTAATTTTAAAAGTTAATCTGAGCCTTAAGATCCAGAAGTGAACTGATTGCCCACATCAGAAGATAATCTACCTTCTTTGGTCATGTCATGACCAGCTTCTGAGTTGAGTGCATGGTGTGACACTGTGAGCTAAGTGTGTTTTTCGTTGGCACAGGAGCGAAGCAACTATGGGGTGACCCGTTTGCTAAGAAGCGGAAACTTGGATTACCAGATTACCAGATGTCATGATAAGTAGAAAACTGGAGTACATTATGATGTGGGGAGAAAAGAGGCAGAAGGAGGATGAGTGAGAAAGAACACATAGAAGACAACTTTCTTATATTATTGATATTTAAGCAGGTGAACAGGTAGCTCTTTCAGGAAATTGCTTGAAGTGTGCACATTTTACATTTGATCATCGTCTTCATCAAGTGCTGTGTCAACGGGCGTGGGTGATCAAACCTCTCCACAACCTGCGATCTCCAACAACAGGCGTCCATGTATGTACCTACACCCTCCTTCTATGCCAGGACAAAAGTCTGTCAAGATTATTCTTATGTTGTCTTCCTCTATCCAGAGATTAGCAGGGCAGAATTGTAGATGGGCCTGCATGACCAGTTCTTAAACTCTTTGAAAATAAAGTTTGTTTGTTCGTTTGTAAATCCCTTTGTTACAACAGGTTCTTCTCATGACGTGGCCAAATATTGACTGCTGTCTTTCTATTGTTTGTGATAAAATATTCAGGTCTGCACCTCTTCAAAAATGTCTTTAGATATTTAAAAAAAATGTGTTCTTCCTCAGGAATTCCCTGATGAAGATGTTGAAATTATTCACGATTTTGAGATGACCCCAATGAGGCGGGCAAAAGTGCTTGTTCAGCCAGCATGTCATGTGGCTGGTGCGGCGTATTACTACACACGGAAGGACTTGAACTCAGATCCTTTTGAAGATAAGGTAACCTCATTTTTTTTCTTCTGACATAAATATGAAATACACAAATAGTACAGTTTTGATTCTTTATCTGGTCTTTCATTACCTCACTGAAATGTTTTTGGGGAAAATAGTCTAAGCTGAGTCTAAAGATATGCATAAATTAAGCTTCGAGCTGGTTGGCCCTCTTACTTCTAAACTGTTTAAAAAAAAAAAAATTATGTTTAGGCAATTTATATTAGTCTTCTTCTTCTTCTTTCGTTCGCCTGAAATAAGTTGTCTATGTCAGCAGTTTTGTCTCTTGTATAAATTTCACTGTCGTTAGTTCATTCAGTGGTCTGTAGAGTTTGCTGATTGTCCAAATCAGAAGATAATTTACCTTCCACCGTTCCACAACGTTCCACTGTTGTTCTTTCTGGCCAAAAGGTTTGCCTTAATGTGTCAAATTCGGTGCAGTCCTGGAGTACATGCTCTGCTGTCTAGGGCATCTTTCCACAGGTGCACATGGCTGATCCGTCTATCTTGAATTTTGTGTACATGTGGTTACGTAATCGGTTGTGCCCTGTTCTGAGGCGCAGGATAGTGACTTGTTCTGGTCTGTCCATAATAAAATAGTCATCTTGTCCTGGGGCTGGTGGTTTCCTGATCGTTTTTTCTTATATTAGTTATATTAGTTTGCCAATGCTCTTTGAACAGTATGACTCTCCTAGCTTGTTAGAATCGGTGCAAAGCAGTTTGTTTCTAAATTGCCTGCAGCTTACTTTGAGTTCCAGCAGGCTGAAATTCTGAAACTGCATATTTTTGGTGCTACTGTAATCTCTTCTCTTCTTCTTTGCATTCACTGGCTGTAAACTCTTGTGGAAAATTCTGGTTGTCCATCCACTTCTAGGCTTTGGTCCTGTTCCAGAACTTTAGTTTTGTATGCACATCCATTGTATAGATCTGGCTTATTTGTATACAGACTGTTGGTTCCTCATTTCCTAGGTAAATGCACTCTGACTTTGAAGGAACACCCCTGAACCCACAGGAGGTGCAACTGTAATAAGCAGGAGAATTTAATCGCACCCTAACTCAAAGCAAACATAATCAAGTAAGAAGTCTGCAAAAATTGTCCCATAGCATAACTCTGATGTGAAATGATTTCTTAGCTAAACATTAATTCTAGTAGGGGCTGCTTGGTCTCGAGGCATGATGTCCGCCTTGAATGCTAGAGGTTTCGGATTCAATCCGCGGTAAGGGTTGGGATTTTTTAACGTGGACTTAGAATTCAAGTAATTCATCCTGGTCTCTGGGTAGTGAGATCGAACGCCGTTGTGCACATAAAAAAATCCCTTGGCAGTTGGAAATAAAAAAGAGTAGCCTAACGGCACTGCCTGGGCACAATTTGAAGTTTAAAAATTACGTAAAGTATTTCTGGATTTTCGCCGGTGCTACAGAGCCTGCGCACCATGCTGAACTTCTTCGGACTCAGACTTAGAAGGACAACTGAGCACTTATGAGTTACCACCCGTGTGCCATGATGTTAATCCTTAGTTCAGACCTCAAACCTCAGACATTAATTCTAGGATCTCTGTTTTTTTTCAGAACATCTTTGGTGTTTGTATTCATCCAAAATATGGAGGCTGGTTTGCCATTAGAGGGATCATCATTTTCAAATCAGTTTTGTGCCCTAATCTCCAACAGACCGAGCCTGTTGACTGTGTGCCCCAGCAAGAAGACAGGGTCAAGTTGCTGGATCTGTTCACAAATCACTGGAAGGACTGGAGATATCGGGACATTATCCCTGTGAAGAAGAGGTACTCGGAAGATCAGAAAAGATATTTTGCTACTCCACCTAAAGACCGCACATCACTGATTTTAGAGCTGCGAAGAAAATACTACCATCAGTTTTCAGACTCGAACTCAGACAGTGGTCAGAGGACTAGATAGATCTTAGGATATTACACTGATAGAGGAGAAGCATTAGCTCTTAGAGTAATGAACAAATTGTGACATAATTCGTAATGACACAGATATTAAACTGAAAATTACTAGACTTCATTAGAAACCACAAGAGAAATGGTTTAACTTTGCTATCAACAGACAGTATACTACAGCGAGCGCTGATGTATAGACCAGGGAGGGACTGATAAAGAGGTTGTTGTTGCAAATGATGGACAGAGAGTTCCTAGGAATCCCTCTATAATAATTTCCAATATCCAGTAGGAGAGAGAAAGAGAAGAAGAAAAAAAGACAAAATATCTTTTGGTTGTAGTCGATTTTCTCCTCAGTTGTAAAACATGCACTGAGTATTCAGTAACAATTAAGATCTGTGATATTTGTTTTGGAATTGTTGAGTATTGAAATCAATGTTTCCCCATTGTCATTTAAACCGTTCGTTGGCATCTTTTCATCTTTCCAGATGATAGTGTTATTTTGTGCTATGGTAATCACAGGATTTTTAACATTCGTCTGAGGAACCACATCTCTGTCACCTCCAAGTTCTAATTTATGCATTCACATTCCATGAGTCACTACCATACAGCAATATAGGTTCTATATAAAGTTTTAGTTATCTCTTTCGGTCCTCCAAAGGGAGGAACCTGTTGCACAAGATGTTCTTCATTCTGTGAATTGCAACCTTAGCCTGGCCTATTCTGCTCTTAATTTTGGACACATCTTCCTTTTGATGTTATGACTGTATCCAGATATTTGAATTTATTGACTTGGATTAACTTTTAACCTTCTGTTCTAATATCACACTGTGGTGGTTTTCTTCTCTTTGATATAACCATTACCTCAGTTTCCTTTATATTTAAGGATAGACCCTTTTTTTGCACTCTCCCTCACTACAATGTCCAATAATTGTTATAGATCATTTGCATTTTCAGCTATCAGTGCTGTGTCCTCTGCATAAAATATGTTGTTTATAGTATAACATCCCATTCAAATTCCTTATGTATCTTATTTATATTTTAGCAAGTCCTTAACTAGTAACCTTTAATACATGCTTAGTGTTAGTCGAGGTTTCAACTTCACTTCAATCGGGCTACCCCATACTTGCCCCGTTTTTGTGCCAGTGAAAATCAAATGAACTGTCCCTCACTTCCCCATTTGAAAAATTGGTGAACAAACAATTAGTCCCGGCGCAATCCAGAAATATGCACACAAAGCAAATATGGCAGTTGCTAGAGGTGCCAAAGCCAACTGTCACCACCAGAAATGCAGTTTATTGATGGAAATAGTCAGGCATGATAAGTTGGCTGTGCACACGTAGTTATTACAAAAGGTATTTCACAAGCCCACACCTAATGACATGCCTGTAAAGGGGCAGTGTTTGTGTTATTTTCTCTCCCAGAAATGAGGCTCCGCAACCCATGTGGCTGTGGAAGAATTTAACTGATTGGTCATTGTCAGGGACCTAGAGCAAGAGATAAAAAGATGGAAAGATAACATTAGAGAACTCGACAGCACCACGATTTGTCAGTGGTTGAAGCAGCCAGAAGAGCACGAAGCAGGACCTTATGTCTCCCTTGACACCCGAAGCGGTAAAAGAGGACGTAAAGAAAGAAATGGTCTTTGTCAAATTTGCGGAATATTTTTCTCTGACATACAAAATAAATACATATTAAAGTATGCTGAAGCAATAGCAATACACATGGACAGTCCTGTGTAATGCAAACAGAAAAAGCTTGCTGGTTAGTCACAGACTGTTATGGTGACATGTGTAGTAAAACATGAACTATGTGATTTGTAAATTTTGCTTGAAAGGATTTGTGTTTATGCTTAATCATGTGTTGTCACTGGTTGTGTATGCACCTGCGCCATGTTTAGGAGGCATGGATATGATTTTATTTATTAAAAATAGCAAATTATGAGGGGGGCTAATTTGTGTGTGTGTGCTAAAGCCATGATGATGTAAAAATTGATTCTTAGCGTTTGGTGATTGGCGTCACACACAAGTCAAGAATTTTGTTGTTTAGGCTAGGCATATTGGCGTCACATACAAGTCACTGTAAGAATTTTTTTTGTTTAGGCTAGGCGTATTGGAGTCACATACAAGTCACTGTAAGAATTTTTTTGTTTAGGCTAGGCGTATTGGGGTCACTGTAAGAATTTTTTTGTTTAGGCTAGGCGTATTGGCGTCACATACAAGTCACTAAGAATTTTTTTATTTAGGCTAGGCCTATTGGAGTCACATACAAGTCACTGTAAGAATTTTTTTGTTTAGGCTAGGTGTATAGGGCGTATTGGGGTCACATACAAGTCACTGTAAGAATTATTTTGTTTAGGCTAGGCCCCATGGATTTTTCAGTTAATTTTCCACTCTGTTCATATTGTTTACTGTCCTTCCTTGATTTCTAAAAAAAAAAAAAATTTTAAATGCATAAAAATTATTATTATTATGCTTTTTTTTTTGTTGTTGTTGCAACAAACAGATTTACTAGCGTTTTGTAAGGATTATTCCAGGAATTTCCAGGTTTTTAAATTTTTTTTTCAGAATTGCTTCCACTGCGTGAGGGTTAATGTAATTTCTGTAGTCTGTACCTTATATAGTGAAATGGTAGGTAATAATTGTGCAGTCTGTATTATGTCCTTGTTATTGCAATTTTTGGATTTTGTGTGTCAGTTGAATTTGCTCTATGTACATAAGAGTTGTTAGATTTATTTACTTGCAGTATGTAATTTGGGGGGGGGGGGGGGGGGGGGGGGTGAGTGTTTATTAAATTCAAAAATGTATAAACTTTTGTTGGTTTGTAAAAAAAAAAAAAAAAGTGGGGGTTTTGCAAAAGTTAACCTGGTTCTCATAGACCTAAAACAAGTACTAGGAAATGTTCTGGGAACAAAAGAGCAAAATATGGCCAGCATGTTAACATCATCACACATCAAGTCCAAATTGTCAGTACACATATGGGACCAGTATCATTTACTCACCATTGAATGAATAACTGAGCAAATGACGCTGATTTGAGATAGGCCCTACTTTAGAAAACCATTCAATCACCTTTTTAGGTGGTCCTGAGTTTGCATGTCCCCTTCTTCTTCTTCTTACGTCCTCTTTTACCGCTTTGGGTGTTGAGGGAGATATAAGGTCCTGCTTCGTGCTTTTCTGGCTGCTTTGATCAAAGACACATTGTGGTACTGTAGAGTTTCTCTGATGTTGTCCTTCCATATTTTCTTGGTCTACCTCTTGCTCTACATCATTCTCCTTTTTTGGTATATGCCTTGAATGGTATAGCATCAGAAGGCATTCTCTCCAAGTGGGCAAACCATTTGATTTGCTGTCTGACTTGATCTCTTCTGGTCACTCCTACAGCCTTTCTCAGACACTTATTTCCATGCACGCCCCCTGAAGGTGAGATATTTTGGTGACCACAGTTCACCCAGGCTCATAGAGTTGGTAGCCATTGTCTAGGAAAGTGTTTCCCTAACTTTTCTTAGTCGCTGTGCCTTTTTTCAATTAAAAATTTTCCACAGCTCCGTAACCTAAGTAAAAGTATGACTATTCGTATGTAAGAGATTTTAAAAAAAATAAAACAAAAACTAGTGTATCTTCTAATATTTTGTGGCGCCCCTTTGAAGAAATTGCGGCTCCCCAGGGCGCCGTGCGCACAGTTTGGGAATTACTGGTCTAGGAGGTAAGGTCGCTGGTATGATCACCGCACCATCAATGAAGTTTTATTTGTGAAAAAAAAATGTTTGAGCTTAACACATTATTCATCATCCATTAGGTGCACACTGGTCTATACAAATATGAGTCTAACATCGTTTGCTCGATGCGCCACTGGTATGAAAAAAAGAGTTCCTTTTTTCTTCTTAAAAAAGACCTTGACTCCCAGGTTGGACTAGCCTTCAGTGGGTACCAGGTGCAGCCCTGAAAGTGAAGGTGGCTGGCATGGTGCTGACCCCATCACAGGACACTCCAAGTGCTGGTTGGTCTAGCCCTATACGCCTCATACACCTGAAGATGTGGAAAAGGGTCCTTTCACATATACCCAGCATACCTGTTGGACTGGAAATTTGTCCTTTACTTACTTTTGGTTATTCTGTTATTTATTACTGTGTACATAAGGGCATATTATTCTGGTTATTCTGTTGTTTATTACTGTGTACATAAGGGCATGTTATTCTGTTGTTTATTACTGTGTACATAAGGACATGTTATTTTGGTTGATTAATTAATTTTTTTTAAAAAGACAGTGCAGGCCACTTGAAGATGGGCTATTCAGCTAAGTTAACTTAGAGGCTAACATTTAAAAAAATAGGTATCGTCACGGGCCATAGACTCGAGCCTCGGCATAGAAAGATCATCAGTACAGTACAAGTGGCAATGATCTACTTGCCACTCACTTGACGGCTGCCAGCTGAATAGCCCTGGCTTAACGCAGTCTCAGATGTGGCAAATTTCTGTGCAGAACAATTTGTTTATCCGTGGCAATTTTTCTTGCTTGAATTCTTATCTGGATAACAGGAATTTCTAAGAAGAACCATTTCTTGCGTCCCCGGTGAGTTCTCGTTATCAGGTCTGCCCTGTGTAATGGTACCTATTTTTGTTTGTTTATTTATTGCTGTGTACATTGATTGGAGTACCTACTTTGGTTGACCTGTTAATTAGCTTTTCTGTAAAAATATACTTACTTTTGGTAAGTTTATTTCATACTGTGCACATAAAAAAAAAGGTAAGTTGTGTATTCTTTACAGGACGTTGCAGAACCAACCCCACTATTTTTTGGCTGTTGTGTTTTTTTTTAGACAGTTTAATGTCCAGTAGTTTGCCATTGCTTTCTGGGCAATTGGCTTCTCAATACCACTGTCAAAACTAATGCAAGGCGCAAGGCCTACAGCTGGGATTGAACCGGCATTAGGAAACACGTTTGCAGCGCCGAAGCCACAGATGCCGACAAAAAGGAAAAGAGAACTAACTAACTAACAGACTTTATTTTCAAAGGGTCACAAATTGGGCACACAGACCCATTTTACATTCGGCCCTTCCAAACACCCGTCTTTCTCACATCAGTTGTATTTTATCAATAAAGCATGTTAAATTCATATGATAATATGCATAATGTAAATATCAAGAAAAAACACAAAAGCATGGGTGATAAAATGCATGCACATACTAGCGCACGCACACATACACCTGCCCGCCCACACACTTAAACACGCATGCACCCACATACTGTGGCACACATACATACACACACATTTCACATACATACAAGCTTACACACAGACAAACCCACAGAAACACAGACAGACAAACCCAAACAGAGCCCAAAAAATTAGCAGCCCAGATGTTTGGAAAGAGTCAAGGGCCCAAAGACAACTTAGAACCAAAAAAAAGGCATAAAATTGTTTAATCATACTAGGAAAACAAGTGAAATTAGAACATGCTGTGACCACTGGAAAGATCTGTGGGAAAAAGAGAGAGAAAAAGAGAATGTGAGAGGATTCTTGACAGCATTTTGTCATGGCATGGAGGAGTGACAACACATGAACTGATTCATGCTGTTGAAGATCACAGGTTGCGGGAAGGCAGGTTGCCCCCCTCAGTTAGCATGGCACTTGATGGTGATGATGTACATAAAGACGTCTTTCTCCTCACTGCCTGTAAACTCTGGGCGCAAGTTCTGGCTTTTCATCCATTTCTGGACTTTAGTGTTTTTCCAAAGTATATAAACTTTGGTTGGTTTGTTTTTAAATATATATATATATATATATATATATATATATATATATATATATATATATATATATATTTGTATGTGTGTGTGTGTAAATTTGTTGGTAGAGTTGCTAGCATACTTGCCTATAAGCCATGTGGTCATGAGTTCAAATCCTCATTAAAATGGGAATTTTGTGAAAGTTGACCAGGTTCTCATGTTCGGCCAGGCCTAAAACAAGTACTAGGAAATTTTCTGGGAAGAAAATGTGACCAGCATGTTAACACCATCACCTATCGAGTCCAAATTGTCTATAAACATATGGGACTAGCATCATATACTTACCATTGAATGAAGAGGTGAGCAGATGATGCTGGATTCTGATAGGCCCCACTTTAGAAAGTCGTTCATTTACCTTTAAGGTGGTCCTGACTTTGCACATCCTTTTACACATCTGGCTGATTTGTAAGCAGATTATTAGTTTCTCGCCTCCAAGGCAGGTGTACTCAGACTTTGAAAGACACACCCTTAATTTGTCGACTTTGATGAAATGCTTGTTAGGAGGTATCAGCGGGTCTACCCCCCTCCCCACCCCCTTTCCCCCAAATGGGACTCCGTAACCCACACAAGGATACATAAAGGCCATTTCATTGGAATATATGTATAACTATTCATATCATTTTCATTTGGTTAGTTTATTATGATATGCATAAGGTAGGGAACCGCAGTATTGCAATGGTAGATGCTGCCCTGCGTGCCCAAAGGACTGAGTTCAAGTTTGTATTGTAGATAATTTGTAATTAACCTAGTCTTCTAGGTCGACCCTGCCTAAAGTGGGTGTTAGAAAATGTCCTGGAAAGTAAAGGTGGCCGGCATGATATTGACAACATCACCTATCCAGCACCGATTGGTCTACAACTACGGATCTGGCACAGGGGGTCTCCAACCCGGGGAGGGGAGGGGCACAAGAATTACAAGGGGACATCAAGACATTTTTTTAGTTTGAATGCATTTGTCCGGATAATTTACATTTTTTAGTTTAATTATAAATAAATAATTTTTAATGCTATAAAATAAACACAAAACAAAACAGCTTTGCCAGCTTGGTGTGGAGAGTGATCTTCATTGTGCCTTGTCAAACATCAGATCCCAAATAGCAGCTATCATCAGGACAAAACAGCGTCAATCATCACATTGATATTTGGTCACTAAATTATAAAATAACCGATTGTTGGTTTGTTATTTGTGGTTTTTTGTTGTTAGTTGACACTTTCATTTATGTGGATGTTTTTCCTCCAAGTTCTTGTGAACAGTGCTTGGGATTTTTATATTTGTTCTCCTCTTTTTAATCAGCTTTTGTTATTTGGAGGGGTGAGGGTCTTGCCATAAACTGGGAAAGGAAGGGGGGGGGGGGGGGGGGGGGGGGGGGGGGGGGGGGGGGGGGGGGGGGGGGGGGGGGGGGGGGTGTTCCATCTGAAAAAGGTTGGAGCAACAAAGCACTACTTGCCCGGTGTATCAGTAGCAAGTAAACGGATCTTTTCAGTTGTTTCCTTTTTTTGGGAAACCTGCATAGGTTTCATTTAGTGACAATTTTTGAAGCACATGTGTGTAGTCTTGCCATAACCTGATGCTTTAGATTGTTATTCAGGTGTATTTTTGATTACAGCTTTGAGATTGACCTAGCTACATAAACTGGGTGGTATGAGAAAGATGTTTGGGAGATAGAACCTGTCTGTTGCTATTTGGGACCGATACTAGAAGGTATCAGTAAGATGTTTAGGAGATACTACCTGTATATTGCTAATTGATCCTGATACTAGCAGGTATCAGTAAGATGTTTGGGAGATACTACCTGT